GCAGTCAGGGCTGCCTTGCGCGATTGCGTAAATTGCCATAAAATGTCTCTCTGTCGGGCTGGCGGGGGGCTTTAACTCGGAAAAGTGGATGCCAGGCTCAAGAGGCGAGTGGGAGATGCTTTCCTTTGCTGTCTTTTCCCCTCTGTTTCTCTACCTCTTCTCCCTCCACCCTCCCCCTTTTCTTTTGATCTGGAGTTTCTGCTTCAGAAAGGTGAGAGTCCGCCGGCCACGACACCGCGGAGTCAGATGGGGCACGAAGAGAAATCACGGGCTCGCTTGTGCGATGCGGCTGTGTGGGAGGGGGCCGAAGCGCTGACAACTAGAAGGTTAAATGCTCGCTGCCCTAGAGAGGTGCGTGGGGAGGGAGCTCGCTGGAAACTCGTCACATGCCTCTGGGCCGAGAATCCCTCTCCCAGCGTCTTTTCTTCCTCCAATTTCTTGAAGCCCTCTGAAGTAAACTGATGTAGTGTTATTAATGGGGTCTATAATACTCCACTCGAAAGCCTGTGCGTTGCAGAAGAGGGAATGAACTTATCTAACTGGTCAGCGAGAGATAACAGTAGAAAGACTTTTCGCATCCCTCACCCGCTGTGCACAAAGGTAAAAGGGTTAAGTAACAACAGAAGAATTAAGCAAGGGTAATTTCTTACTGATATGTGGAATAAGGTTTGTGTTTCTCTCTGACCTCACTTGTGGGGGTGACCTGCACTGCAAGAGTCCCGTGAATTTTGCTTGACTGTTGGAGGAAAAGGGAGGAAAGGCTTTTAACATCTCCATTAATACCCTTTAATAATAACAATAACTGGGTGATGTCTTAATCCCAGTGACTCTCTGTCGGAGGGTGCCTGCCAACCTGTATCCATTTCAGTCTGATTGACGGGCTAACAGCAGGATGCTGCCTGCATCGCAGAATCGAGAGGCGCAGGTGAGCTGGGAGGAAAAACTGAGATCTGAAGAGGGTTTCCTAATAGGGGTATTTGGGTTCTTTCAAGTGTCGCAGATGTACTCATTAAACACAAGGAGCTCGGGACCGGTGTGGTGGTGATGTAAGGAAATGAAACTAGAACCGTTGATTATCCAGACAGTTCTCAACAGCCTCCTTCCAGGAGATCTCATGAGTGGCTGTATAAAAGAGAATAACGGTGGCGATGGTAGAGGTAAAGGGAATTAGTGCGGGGTGCACTTAAAAAGGAGTAAAGTAGGAAACAAACCCCCAATGAGAGGAGTGTGGAGATAGAGCAACGAACTGTGGTGTTGCCTGGGAATCTCCTGTGCTGTTGATGAAGTAGTTATGCTCAAGGAGAAATTATGCTCACTTTTAAAAGTGCACTGGAGAAATCAGGGACAGGAGGTGAGACTGAGAGAAGAAACTCTTTACGAAGAGGTTATTTTACCTTTACGTTTCTTTCTGCCTGATTCAAATGGGCTCCACTTGCCCGCTCATCTGTGAATGTTAGGAGGGGATGCTGGACCTGCATAGGTTACAATTGGACTAAAATGGAAGCTTTTGCTAACCAGACCAATCTCATTTGAAATCAAGCTTGAATGAGCTTGTTAATAAAAATGGGGTCTGTTTTACTTCCATAAATGGCTCTTTCCACCCCCCCCACCCCCCCCCCACTTCCCAGAGGCCAGTCTGATTTCTACTGTCTAAAAACCCTAGCGTTGTGGCTAGTATCCAGTTCTCCCCTTGATTTTAAGAGGTTTTGCCATGTGGGGAGGGGGTGGGGGGTCGAGGGGCTTTCTTTTTTTGAGGTCTCTGGCAGCAGTGGGGGAATTCATAGTTATTACTGCGTGGAGAAGGCAGGATTTCAGAAATATCCCCCCCCCCGGTAGTCCTGGTGCATCGCAAGGAGGACGCTTGCTGCCTAGTAGGTAGAGGTTGCAATGTGCTCTTTGCTTTTGCATCCCCGAAGGCTTCTTGGGAAGCTGGGCCATGGCCACGGCCTCAGAGGCAGCCGCCCGCCCTTCCAGCTCCGGGTCGGGGCTGGAACGGTGCCCGAGGGCTGTGTGCTGGCCTTCGTGTGGCACCGGCCTCACCCGGGCAGTCTAGTAACGGCTGTACGGCTTGGTGAGGGAAAAGCCTCCTTGGCAGGCACGCTCCGTGGTGCCGAGAGAAGGAGTAGAGATGCAATAACACTTTTCGGTGCGCTTTACAGATATCATTGAGGATGAAGGGGCAGACTGAAAAAATAACAACAATAATAATGTTTTTGACTTGATGTGTTGTGGCATCGTGTCAAGTTTTGTCAGGGACGTAACATCATTTTGTATGTTTGAAGTGACATAATATAACTTGACTGATGCAACATGACTTGATATTAGACAATACCGTTTTACAGCGGAACTTTGGCAAATATCCTCTCGAAACAAATGTTAGGAGCTGAGAGAAGAGAGACAGGAGGGAAAAAGAGAAAGGTTGAGAGTGAAAAACTTCAAGGCTTGCATTTGAGTCAGTTCCACTGCGTAAATCACTGCCGAATTTGCTGTGGGCAAGCCAACCTACGCACCGTGCAGTGCATTTATAAATTTCAAGATAATGAGAGTTGAGATATTTCTCAAATACATAAATGTTTTGATTACAAAGACCAGATTTCTGCTTAAAAAAGTAAACTAACATCAGGTATCATGATTAATTCCGACAGATTGTGTTAATTGTAGTTGACTTTAATTGCTGTACAAATGTGTTGAGGATTAGAAAACTTTTTTTATTGTTGGTGTGTGAAATGAGTAAGCAGATAAAGCATTTAAAAATATCTGTTTGCAAAGAGAGTAATCCAGCCTGTATGACGTGATGAAGCAGTAGAGGAATAAAATCTACATTGATCCAGTACTGTGTATTTTTTTTACAAGTGCGTTGTGTCTGCTAGTTTGCTCTGCCACAAGTCAGCTGCGATAGGCAATGGCTAACTTGGTTTTTATCAAGAACCTGCCTTTCTTGTAATTAGCAAATAGCATAAGTTCAAACGTACCATATATTTGGGGGTAAGTTTGTCCTTTTTGAAGGTGATAGGGTTGAAAAGTATGCAAACAGAAAGATGGAACGTTTTTCGAGTTCACTGTTCTCTAATGGAGGCCAACAGTACTTTAGAAGCATTAAAATACCTCAAATTTAGAAAAGCCTGTGTTTTTATTAGTTTTTGCACTAATGCTTTTAACTATTGGACTCTAATCTTTCGGATAAAGTCCTCCTTTTTAGCCTGTGATACTTCTTAAAATAAAATGATTATTTATGGTGGTTGCACTCTGATGCTAAAATACATATTCAACACTCGCAAACTAGTATCACTAGGAAACAGGAGTTGTTCAAAGTACTAGATGAAAACGTTTCAATGGAAAATGATACATTTAACATCAAATATGCTCAAGCACTGTTCGGATTAAGTATTCTGAATGAAGGGGGAAGGAAAAGCCACTTCAGCTGGGGATAAGGAATCTAATTAAAAATCAGTATTAAGGCTATATAACTTGAGCCCGCACTCATGCTTTTTAGAGTACTGTTGTATCAGTTGTAAGAGGGAGGAAGGAGCATCATTAAAGCAGGAATGAAATGTTTTCTCAGATTAGAAGACAGAGATGAGTGAAATGGTGCTGTTGATCTTGGTGGCGAAGCGGCTGATCCCGCAGTCCTTACGGGCACCATTGGAGACAACAGGCGACTGGTCTCAATGAGGAGTGTGAGCTGGGAGAGGAAGGATAAAAGACATGGCTCCAACTTGTCACTTTATATTTGGGTGTTGATGGCATCTCTGAAAAGCGGAGCAGACCTGCAAGGGTTTGTACCGCCTTTGATTTGTTAAATTCATTTGAATATCGACCCAGTGAAAATGGAGCTATATTCTCTAGAGCATTCCCTGAAACTAATACGTACATGTGAAAACAAACCCAAAATGTTTGTACAGAAAATTAGTATCAAGTTTTAGGTCACGCCAGATGCGTGAAATCTAGCTGCGGGTGGCAGGGCCGGTGTAAGGCAGCCCGCGGCGCCGGCACCAGCTGCGCGGAGTTGGGAGCCCGGCCGGCCCCGCGCAACGCCGCGCAACGCCGCGCTCCTGCGGGGCCGGGGCCGGGACGACACCCCCACGGGGTGGGGGGGGGGGCGGCGGGGCCGGGCAGGGACCCCCCGGGGCCGGCGGTACCGGCCCCCCCCCCCCGGCGGGCGGCGGAACCTGCGCGGCGGCGGGGCCGGGGCCGGGGCCGGGGCCGGGGCCGGGGCCGGGCCGGCGGTACCTGCGCGGCGGCGGTACCTGCGCGGCGGCGGTACCTGCGCGGCGGCGGTACCTGCGCGGCGGCGGTACCTGCGCGGCGGCGGTACCTGCGCGGCGGCGGGGCCGGGCCGGCTGCAGGTGGTGCTGCTGAGCTGGGAAGGCTGCGGCTCGCCGGGAAAGCCGGGCAGGAGACGGAGAGGGGGCCCTGGGAAATACGTGCATTTATTCAATAGCAAGTGTGCAAAGCTCACCAATTGAGAGACGCAGGCAGCAGCAGGCAGGCTTAGGTATTCTCCCCTCTCTGAATATAATTTTAGATTTAGATTCAGCTTAAGTCCAAAGGGAAAACACTTTATAAGGTTGAAAGCTGCATAGTTGCAACAGCCAGGGTTATGAGCTATCAAATGCAATTACATTAAAATAGATTATACTGTGTAAATTGAGCCATTTAGGAGGTGGGAACCAAAGAAACGGCTCTGATCCCCCCTTCTTTCTAAATTGCAGTTTTAGTTCCTTGCAATTCTGAGGCACAAAAGTAGGTGAGACTGCTTTTGTATCTGCAAAGTGCTTTATTTCTGAGTGTAATTCTAACTGAGTGCAATCTAGGTTAAAAGCTGGACAACTGGGTAATTAGAGCTCACTTGCTGCTAAAGGACGATCAGCTGTACCGTAGCTCATTTGTGTTCCCAGAGACTTGCTCTCCTCTCCCCTGAGCGGAGGCTGCTGAAGAAGAAGCGTCTGTCCCCGGACTTTTCTTGATTGCAGAGATGATGGTGCTGGACAAGGAGGACGGTAGGTGGGCTGAGAATGTGTGAGCCTGTGCTTGGTGTCTTCTGTGTGCTGCTAACGGAGAAATAAATAGTTTTGAAACAGATGCACATCACAGTGCTCTGCTTTCAGCTTCTGATATTTTTCTCTTGTGTTGGTAAAAGCATGCTTGCCCTTTATTTTGGTTTTTTAATCTCTTTGCTGGTATGATCGAGCTAGTCAAGAATGGTTTACCCTAGGCTCTGTTTGCTGAAGGACATAGCAGAAACAGCTTCGTTTGGGGTTTTTTTGGTAATATCTACTTAGATTGTTATTTCTACAAGTTACTCATATATATCCATTTTAGCCTGCTTATTTTAAGAGCTTTTATTGTAAATCTAATTTTGAGATTTTCTTTCCATCGCATGTCATTTGGGTCTCTTTAATGTGTGCCTTTAATATCTGTTTCTCGCAGCTTTTCTTCATAGCCATAAACATAATGACAATAAGCTAATAAGCTGCTCTGGCAAAGAAGCACTGGTTTATTCTAAGAGTTTGCTTCCTTCTCTAAGTGCCAGAAGTGGAGGTTCACTTGAGAGGTAATTTAATGAATGAAACTGAAGGAGAGCTTGACTTATTTTAGGACTTCACCTATACTTATTTTTCTAAAGCTGACTAGTCCTCATCAAGGGTGGCTAAGGGGTACAAATTGATGTAAAGAATAATGGACAGTGTTAGTTGGTAGTTTGAATGACCCAATGCCTTCTTTTGCACGTTGCCTCCCAGGGCGTGCAACAGAACGGCTCGGTCACTGGTAGTTTCTAGGACGAATGTGGTAAGTTTAATCACAACTTTTTAATGAGGTTTTTCTAAGGCTGCTTTGTGGCTTCGGTCTTCCCTCATAGCTTGTACAATGGAAACAAATATTAAAACTAAGGCAAAGCAGAACACTTCTGTGGCCATCCAGATGGACCTCCGTCAATGGCGCTGCCTCTCGCCAGAGACCTTTACCTTGGCAGCACTTTTTGTATTGAAAGTGGGAACTACATCTTAACTTTTAACGCACATTTATAGCTGTTATCTCCTTGTTTCATTCCACCTTTATAAATGTATGAAGTGTTCCATGTAAAGGGTGTGTTGCTGGATTCTCTGATCTTTTAAAATTTTTATCAGAAATGTCTTTTAATGTTAAAAAAGAAAAAAAAAAGTCATAGGCAGTTGTCATTTGGAAGTAGAAGAAATTACTGAATATTTGCAAGACAGGACACAGCTTTTCACAGGGAGCCAAAGAGCTTGGAGAAATTGGAGGTTGAGCATTTTGGCAGTAGCATTGATTTTACTTGAATATATGTATCGCTTTTTAAAATATTTATGATAAAAATAACTTGTAATTCAAAGTTATTTGCTTTCCTGTGTCAAATTGGTACTAATCTCGTATTGTGAATAGTACTGAAAGCTGCCCAATGCTAATAAGTTGGAGTGATATGATTTTTGTTCCTCAACCCATATCTGTCCTCTGCTATTTTAGAACTGAATTAATACTGTATTGAGGGATAATTGGGAAAGGCGGTTTGATTATTGAAAATAACGGATGCATGCTCACTTATAACCCAAGGTCTTCTACTGAAGTTTCTCTTCTTTCTCTCCCTTCCTTGCCTCTCAAAAAAAGGGTGAGGGGGGAATACTATTTTTACATCTAGTATTTTGAGGTCTTTATTTCATTGATTTCTAAAATTATCAATCTCGTGTATTCATGTGCATAGAATCTGAATCTAGTTTCTGGGATGGGATGGGAGGTTTTGTTTCATTCTGACGTGAAGCACTGAAGACAATGAAAAAACGTGAACAGACTTTTCACAAAGATTTTACACCTTTAAAATACAAGACCAAGCAGAAATGCATCATTATCAGTGCCCACTTGTATGCGCATTCAATCAAATTTTGACTGAGAGTTGACCAATGTGAGGTCAGTACCTGTGTATAAGTTGTCTTGCCCTTCTGAATTTATTCTCTGCTAATTAAGTTGGCATCCTAAAACTGTGAAATAATCTTATACAGGGAAAAAAAAAAATCCTTGGCTTTATTTCTGTTGGGATCTCATAAGTTTCTTTGTTAACACAGTAGAACTTAAAAAAAAAAAAGTAGATGTGAAGCATCTGTTACACATCTTCTAGATCAGCTTTGCAGTTGACTGGACTGTGGATAAAAGACACGCTAAGTGGTTGAGTATTGCTTATGCTGGGAAAACAAATGAAGCTAACAGGGTTTCAAAGGCTTTGAAGCAGAGTCGCTCTCAGAGGTGTTCAGTTGTTTTCTTTGGCAATATAAGTTGAAGCAAGCTAGTTTACTTTATTAGAGGCATAAGGCTACTCTTGTAACCTTCCTCTGACTAAGATGAATTTGGCTGACTGACCTTATTTCTTTCTGGACCACACGTGTTGTGCTGGGTTTGGGGTTTTTGTTTTGTGCCCTCTTTAGAACTCATCTCTTTTAAAGGACAGCAGCATTTTCCATATTTTGTTAAATCTTCCTTTTCAGTTTGTATTTCCCTATAGAACTATGTTCTGCTATGATGGAGCAATGCAAATCAAGTAGAATAGCCCAAATTAATTCTTCACATTGGCGGCAGTATGATTGCCTGCATGGAATCAATAATGCATCATGGAGGGATCAAATTTTGGAGTATAATGTGTGAATAATGCTTGACACAAAACAAAAATTCAGTCATCATAATAGCAATTAGGAAAAAGCTGCAGCTTATCCCAGCTGTAATCTCTGCTAACAATGAAGCACAGCCTGGTAATCAGCATGTATGGTATGAAATGCACTAATAGAAATCACGGCTCTTTGTTATGTGGGGAGGGGTGTGAAAGTTTCCTTTTAGCTAACTTGTACTGTGTTAACTAGACATAGTATCCTTCAACCAAATTGAGAGTGTGTGCAGTTGTAAAAACACTGATCAGCTGTGTGTTCATCCCTATGTTTGCATAGACAGTAACACCCCAAATCACGGATCCTTTGTGTTTTCAAGCAGAGCTCTGATTAAATAGATCACAAGAGTAGGCCAAGTAAATAATATATCAGAGGACTCCATTAAACATCTACCCATATACAAACCTTGGGGTTTATTTTAAAAAAATCCCCACCATTATTTCTTTAGAGATTAAAAGAAAAATATGGATACTCCGTGACTGTGTGCATTGGGGTTGGAGAATGGGTCTTAGGTTGATGGGAGGTATTTAGGGCAATGAATATTTGGTAATTTGAAACTGGATTAGCAACAGCAGTTGGGTTCCCTGTTGTGTAAGAGCCCATCTTATCCTGCACAGAAGGAAAGGAAAGCAACATTTGGAATTAAAAAAGTGGTGAAACTGATTGTATAATGGCAGTTACATGATGCCACAGTGCCCTGGCCAGGAGAGCAGAGCTGTGGGCCGACTTCACAAATGAGTATGCCAGCTGCCATACCAGGTACCTATATGTAGATGGATATGGAGAGATCTCTACCTCCAGTAAGGTAGGTCCTGACAGTCTGCTTCTATTGATAAAAATCATTATAGGCAAAAAAATAAGGCATGCTCAGGTTGTACACAAGCCTAATATGAAATAGTGCCATATAGGAAGAAGAGCTGCTCTACGTGCTGCTGCTAACTTGTTTTTTTAACATACCTCTCTCACATACATTTATTGAAGAATCATGCAAAGAGAGAGGAGGGGAAATGGCAGGGTGGCTTTCTTCTCACATGGCATGGAATTGAATTTTTCTGCTGCCTAATATTCCTGAAGCTGCTTTTTTTTTTTTTTTTTTTTTTTTCCTCCCCTTCCTACACCCCTCTACCTTGGACCTTCTCTGTGGTCTGTTGTTGCCTGAATTCCCATTTAAAAAGAAACACTACACATCTTCCCAGACATCAGCTTATTCAAAGAATGTTTGATTCGTGTCACCAAAGACCCTGTATTTACCTATTTAGGTGGGTTACCTGCTGGATTTTGCGGGCTTAATCTTGTCACACGTGGTGTTGGTGTAATTTCAGAGGTTTGGTCTGGCTTTAGTTCAGGACACTGTCTCCTTTTGTGATGCAAAGGTACAGCGGTGGATTCGTATATTTATGAAGAGGAGGCAGAAGGTTGTAAAAGCAGGAATAAGGCCAGAGCACACTTGGCAGCAGAATAAACCATGAGACTCAGTTTGGCCAGAAATGACCAAAAAAAAAAAAAAAAAAAATTGGAATGTTTCTCCAAAAGCTGACCAAGTGTGGAGCTAGAGGTAGTCTTCCTAGAGGTGCCCCTTGTTCCTGGAAATGACAAATACAGAGTCATGAGAGTACTGTGAGATAGTAATTGCCTAAACCTTTTCAAGAAATAGAATGTACTGTGGTTGGAGCACTGATAACCTGGATCTCTATTTAGTGAAATCTCACCCTATGGGAAGAGGAATGAAAGGAGTTAGCAGGACTAATAGGAGTGAAGTGCTTTGTATAGGAGTATTCCTGCCAGGCAATCAAATAGTTCTTAGTGTTTGCTCAGACTAGATAGCTGAAGGATCTGGGTAGGCATCTGTGTAGGGGGTCATCATTCTTTGTTCCCAGATGCTGGTGAGATGTGATAGTTGTCTCGTTGACATAACAAGTGTTAAAACTGCATAGGAACATTTTTCAGCTTGGGTAATAGGGTAAAAGAAGAAGCTAGTTCTTGGAAATTAGTTTGCTCTAATTTTGTTTTAATACAGTAGAAAGGATGCTTGTTACTCTGGCAGCAGAACATAATTTGTCTTCTTTGGAGTTAGTGTTAAATTTTATTATCTTTAATAGATACAATGTGAACATGTCAGCCTGTTTGTCATAGCCCTTCCGAAAATGCTCTCTTATGGTAGAATCTTCGGAAAAATTCCTTTTAAGAGCAGTGCATTATTAATAAAGTAATCCATTAGGTCTGGTGATAAAGGGTCACAGCAGAGTCTGAAATACGTTTCTTAAATGGTTAAGAAATTTATCATGGTTGGAGGATTAATTGATTTCATTTGGAGGCTTTCTTAAGGTTTTCAG